AGTGGCTGAGGGTAAAGAGAGAAAGGTACCTTAGCGATGAGCAAGCCGCAGGCGGCAAGAATCAACAAGTGCGATTGAACTCAACCGTGCCGCTACGTAATTATAACAAAGCCACCCTTTTTTAAAAAAAAAAAAAAAAAAAAGGGTCAGGAGTTTTCCCCCTATTTCTCAAAACATAAATGAGTTTTTTAAGGGAAAATCAGAAAAAATACCCTAAAAAATAAAAAATTGTATACAAAAACCTATTCATAAAAATTATTGTCAGTCAAAACCAATATTAATATTGTAACGAGTCTCTATTTATAAATTTTCTATTTCTACGATCTTCTTTTCTAATTTTTTCTTTTTTAAAAAAAAAAACTTTTTTTATAAGCCTAGGCCACGCATAGTAGTGACTAATTTTGTCACATCATAAACTTTATAAATGAGCTCTCCATACATACCTTTAAGAATTGAACTTCTAACTAGATGCTTAAAGAACCCAACTAAGTGTTAATTGTACTAAGCCTCATGATTAATTTTATGTTTTAAATTTTTGGGTTAATATAATCTTTAGTCCCTCAGGTTTGCCCTCATTTTAGTTTTAGAGAGTATTTGGATTATCCCAACCACAATTTGGAGAATAGCTTCCGACAAAAAAGTGATCTTGAGAAAGATTTTGTAATAATAAATTTTGTAAAAAAAACTAATTTTGATAAAGTGAGAATATTTAAATAGTTAATATCAGAAACACCTTTTTAGGTACAAATTACCAAAATGTACATAAGTTAATATGATAATTATATAAAAATAAATTTATATTTATATTTTCATTTGAAGTAATAATTCATTAATAATTTTGGTTTGCCAATATAATAATGAAATATAAAAAATATAATTAATTAATTGTTAGTGTGTGTATATATATATTTAAAAAAATATAAGATTAAAAATGTCTTTAGAAAAGATCAATACTTTTTTTTTTGCCAACATAAAATATTATTTTATGTTAAAGATTATAAACATGAAATGCCATGATTTTTTTTTGACAAAATTGAATAAACACACATTAAAACAATTTATTAATTATTAAAGTAATTAATAATTGTCGTGAAAATATAAGGTATAACATTAATAAATATGAATATAAATAAAGAAGTGTCATAATAATTAAGAGGTTGTATCGACAACATTTGTAATCGTTTTTTTAACTACATATTACAATATATAATGAAAGGAAATAAAAAAGACATGACTATTATCCTTGTGTATAATTAACAAGTTCATGTCTTATGGTGTCACAAACCCGAGCCATGTAAGATGAAGATTGTATTGATAAATGTATATGTAAAAATCCAACTCTATCATCAACATCTCCTTGCGCATAAGTACCTTCTTCTTCATAGTGAATGAATCCAGGATTAGCAATAGACGTCGTTCTAATAAAATTATGTATAATCATCATTGCACAAATGATTTTAACTTGTGTTTGATAGTCATAGGATGGCATGTTTTGTAAAATTGAAAACTTACTTTTCTAAACTCTAAAAGTACTTTCAATTGTATTCCTTAAACTTGAATGGAAATAATTGAAGATCTCATTTTCATTTTCAAGCCTGTCTTACAAAGCAACATATCCTATGTCCGCCACTCTTTTTGTAGAGAATCATATTTGTTCTTAAATTGGGGTTTTCCATACACTCTCTCAATCTTCTCAGTGAAATTGTCAGAAACAATTGCCCATGCTTTCTTTGTTAAGCTAGTGCCTTTTCTTTCTCCTTTATTAACTTGTTCAATACACAAGTCAATAAAAACCTTTGTGGTTTTTATATCCCAAAAAGCTTTGACCTTGTCTTTACTCATATGCTATAATGAGTAAACCAATATAATAACCCCTCTTAGTAGCCAAAGGAAGTTTTTTGATTGAAGTAGACAAGTGTTAAAGCTATCCAAGTAAGCTAACAGATCATGATGCATTTTAAAATCCTGTATGCTAACTACCTAGCCAAATAGACTCATTTGTCAGAATTAAGAGATGGTTGATGTGTAGCACTCAATGACAGTAATTTACAACCTTACTAGTACCCAGATTTTCAATTTATATCATTTATCAAAAAACATTCATTTTCAAAATTCTTGCATGCCATGGTTTAGCATACAAAGAGGTTGTATACTAATTAAAGGTCTACAATTAACTACTCCAACCCAATTCATTTAAATACACACAAAGATCGTCACTGGCATCCATCATACTGATCTCATTCACAAATATTCTATATTGACAAACGATCAGAACCTTTTACACTTAAAATGCCCTGACAGTATCACAATTCACATCTAAACAAAGTTGAATGTGCAATACCAAATGAGCAGGCTCCAAAAACATTCACATTTCAAGCATATGTAACTAAAATTAATAGGCTCCAAAAACACTCCATAAATCTTTAATTAATAGTTTCAAGCATATCATGCCTTTCCCCTGACATCACTCTACCACCGTCAAAATCATTTCAACTTGCCCAAAATGTGTAGTTTGCACTTGTACATCACAACTATGGAAGAATTAATATAAGATGTATATTTTACCAAAGTTAAAGCAAGATCTACTGCGATTGTAGTGCAGGTTTATCATAATAGACATTTAGAATTCACCATCTTAACATTTTATAATTAATTAGCTAAGACTAAGAACTCTTCGAAATTATTATTTGAGCTCTTCTTTTGACTAAGTTACTGGTCATAATTTAGGGAACCATGGCCCTCAAATGAAACGTTTTAATTAGGAGTTCAGAACAGAGGAAAGATATTTGGAACATATTGTTCAAACAGTGTGGTCGATGTTTTCCAAATTAAAATAATCTCAAGATACACAGCAGAATGTATAAGCTTTCATAGAAATAAAATTCTTGCACATCGATAGCCCAAACACTTGCAATTCATAAATGTTTTTTCATGTTAATAATCGTCATTTTTGTAAACAATATCAAAGGTTTTCTTTGTCAAGTATCCATCACGGTCAAAATCAAAAATTTTAATCCTCCCTTTGAGCTCACACGTGAGACTAATAACACATTTGAAATAGACTACCTATTTTACAGAGCAGACTATATTTAGACAGAATCCAATCAATGCGATGCATGAGTGAAGAAAATGATTGTTCAAGAGGAGAGACGTTACCTGTGCGACGGATCTAAGCGCAGAACAAAGCATCTCCACCTCATTTAGGAATGATCAAACGAAGTGAAGAACGCAGATTGCACACCAACGATGGATGGATCGGACAACGCCTTTGTTCTTTCAAGCCTACAAATATCTCACCAATGCCTCTCCTTGCGAGCCGAAGACACAAAATGCACCACCAGGGACGGCTTCTGTTGAATGAGCAAGGAGAGAGGAGAAAAAAAGAGAGGATTTGATTTCAATCGAGCGACATTTTTGTCTAGATAAAGTTGCCCATCTTTTGACACTCATAATAATTACTCCAACGACCAAAATTTAACTCTCAGGAGCGAAATCTTTTCGCTTTTTACAGAACCATGGTTTAGGAAGTTGAAATATTTTCAACCCAAACGATGGTTTTTCAAAATGTTGAGATGTTTGGATAGTTTGGACTCCAAAGGCACTTTTATATGATTTGCCAGATACTCCATTAGTTCCTTAAGTTTTAAATTTTAAGTTTTGGTCTCTCGAGTTTTTTTTAATTTAAAATATTGGTCTCTACAGTTCAATAAAAACTTGAACTATTTTACTCTTTGAAGAATTAAAACCTATAATTTGAAACTTAAGAGATTAAAATCAAAATGAAAGTAAACTTGAAAGATCAAATATGTTGGATGCAATGTGTCTCTTAAATATGTTGAAGTAAACTTGTGCGCACATTATCCAAATATTAGGAGAGGCTTATATTCAATATGTTGGATGCAATGTGGAGCATTAAATATGCATATTATTCAAAGTAAAAGCAACCTTTATCCAAGCGGACTTTTGCACGTTGGAGTTGAAGTAAACTTCTCTTATGTAATACTCCCTCCGTTTCTTATTATAAGAGACATTTGATGCTTATGGTATGTTCCTATATATAAGAGACGCTTAAAAGTTGTTTCTATTTTTTTGTGTTGATTTTTTATTTTACTCATATTTATTATCTCCAACTCACACTCTCTCTCCCTCCTACTTCTCTTTTTTTTAATATTTTAATTGTTCTCTCTCATGCTCTCTTTCCTTATTAATGAGCGCATTTTTAGAAAACAAATTATACTTTTTACACATTAATTGTTCTTAACTAATTTTAACCTTTTTTTTATCAACGTATTTCGGTTATTTGTCTCTTATAATAAGGAACGGAAGGAGTACCATTTCCACTACTTAATATAAAAACTAATTAGAATCCAATTCATTTTGTTTTCCATCTTTTCTCAAAATACCCCTATTGAGTACAAGGTGTTTCTACCAACACATTTATAGCAAATAATCAACTTGACTAATTTTTTTACTATCTCCAAATTAATTATATACTCTTATATTAAAGATTAGAAATAATGTAATTTATATTTGGATATCCTTTTATGAAAAAAAATCAATTTGATTAATTAGAAGTTATTTGGATCATATATCTCAACAGTGTGTGCTCAGATATAAAATAATCGAAATGGATATGATTTTTTTGCCAACGGGGTATGAGTTTTTTTTTTTTTTTTGGCCAAAACAACGGGGTATGAGTTTAACCATATATATGATGTATATAATGTGTAAATGTGATAATTTTAAGAGAAATGTTAAACTAAAAATTATAAAAGTAAAAAAGAGTTCATGTATTATTGAGAAAATTTTGAAAATACTAAAATATTTAATTAGATAAGAACTCAAAAAATTTTAACTACCATCCATCTCATGGCTTGCATAGGAAAATATACTGGTTACTTCCAAAAGATCATATCATAAGCATGGATGGATAAAGTATCAGGTGACTGAAATTTAATAGAAAACAAGGTTTTAAATTTTTTCCTTTTCTCTGCTCCGAATTTTTAAATGAAATAAAATGTTTGCAGCTTTTAGTGATGTAATCAGTTTGTTCAATACAACGAAATTCATTTGGTGGAATCCCCGAATAATACTTTAGCTTTTGGTTCAAAAGCCCATAACGGCTCAGGCCAATCCCTCGTAAAAAACGTGAAATCGAAAGTTATTGACAATCAAAAACGAAATGATAATGTCAATGTTCCTTTAAGAGTTCTCGTCCTATAATCATTCTCCTGATCTCACTCGTTCCAGCTCCAATCTCGTATAGCTTTGCATCTCTAAGAAGACGACCAACTGTATACTCGTTCACATAGCCGTTTCCACCTAAACACTGGATAGCCTGCACATGTAATTTGAAGGTTAAAACCAAGAAAGAAAGAAAAAAGATTATTTGCAAAGTGAGACGCAAGTACAAAATATTTCTTACCTGCAAAGCAACCTGGGTTGCTCTCTCAGCTGCGCAGAGAATGACACCAGCACAATCCTACAGTTGCCATGGAAGTTAATCTAAGCCGAATTCAAAACTGTTACCGTTAAAGTAATTTCAAAATGCTTTACTACTTGGCAATGACAACCAATTATGAAAAGAACAAGAAAATCCGGGCATTTCAAGTGGCACAAACAGAAATAAGAATCAAGGGGGGCTCCTTTCTGCCAACAAAATCAAGGAAACCTTGAATTAAGAAAGAGTGGGGAAACAGAAACATAATCCGAGTTTGTTGGACTAAACTAAGCAAAAATTATAGCCCATAAAGTTAGGAAGAGATAACATTTAGCCCAAGTCTAATATTGGGTTTAAGGTAGAATATGGAAGATAAGCAAACATTTCAAAGTATGATAATCTAAATTTGACAAAAGTACATGCTGTAAACAGGTTATCAAGTCAGAAACAATATAAAACACAAAAATATTGCCAAAAAGTGTCAAAAGTTCATTTATAGAAACCAATACTGACGATCGCACTGTCCGGGGGAAAATAACAATTAAAAAGAGTAATCATAACATATACAGATATCGAGACGCACCTTGGGATTAATTGTTCCATTGTCACAATCTCGAGCAACAGAATACACGTAAGACCTAAAACATAATTATTTCCATGAAAACAGCTGACCAAAAAACAGAATATTACACATGACATTACAATCCTGTACCTTGAAGACTGTAAAGAAGTGTACATATCAGCAATTTTCCCCTGAAATCATTGACCGGTTGACAGTAAGAGGACAATATACAAGCGCCATGTTAGCCGGAGAAGAAATATTACAATTAGAACCTGTATAAATTGAAATTCCCCAATAGGACGTCCAAATTGCTCTCTTTGTCGAACATAAGGAAGAACAACATCAAGACAAGCCTGCATAATACCTAAAGGACCAGCTGCCAAAACAAGCCTCTCCAGATCCAACCCAGACATCATGACATAGACTCCTGAACAAACCAAAAAAGCAGGGCAGCAATACTAAAAAACTGCATACTGTATATACTTGCTATTTGACAGGCAGCTAAAGGAGTGAAAGTAAAACCAGTGACACACACTACTTCAAAGTTAAAATTATTAACATCTATAAAAATTAAGGCATAAGGTGCTAATAGAAAAAATTGCCAGAAGAAATAGAATAACCCATATTCTGATATAATAATGAGATCAAGGTGAGAACTCTACTCTTCCTATGGTTTCTTTAAAGGAGTTTAAAACAAAGAAATACAACTCTACAAATAGGTCCCTTGGTATTGCAACATGCTTCTATATGCTGCATAACACAACCTGTTCTATGACCCTTCTTAGGATAAAAGTTATTTCATTTTGATAAAGATTAGTCCAGGAGCAACTGCAAACCTTGTCCTTCTTGTCCAAGAACATTTTCATTTGGAACAAAGCAATTCTCAAAGACAAGCTCACATCTGCCAACAAAATTTTCTAGCGTAAGTAAAAGGGTGGAAGAAAAGGTTAAACCAGGATGGAGATGGACTCGAATACATACGTATCACTTCCTCGCATCCCAAGTTTGTCTAATTTCTGGGCTGTACTAAATCTGTAATGAAGAAAAACATTTCAGAAAAACATAGAACTTTCATCCAATTTTTTTTTACTTATTCAAATGTTTTATCATGTGAAAGGCCAAGAGCTTTGAAACACATAAGAAGTTTTTTTTTTTTTTTTCCAATTTTTCTATTAATTTTCCACGTGCAGGTAGTTTGTTGTTCATGAACATTTACATGCTGGCTCCCCATCCCCATTACAGATGATATTTTTGCATATATTCAAGACAACTAGTTGATGTCCTAGTTTTTCCAATCGCTTCCTTTTTGCTGTCATTTAAAATAGTTTGCATTCTTGCCAAAACACCTGATACATTAGACTACATGAGTCTACAATTGAATGATTTACGCAAGAATATCCATAAACTTTAGCAGCATCACCACTCAAACTACCTCAAACGTCAAAGCCCAAAAATGGAAGAGCAATAGCAGCATTTGATCAAACAGTGATCATTTAATTAAATTGAAATATATGTTTAAGTTCAAATTAATATCATATAATATGTAAAGTTCAAAGAGAGAACCCTGGCATTCCCTTCTCGATGATGAAGGCTGTAATTCCTTTTGACCCAGCTTTTATATCTGTTTTTGCATAAACAACCTGATCAAGTTCAAAACATTAGCCAAATGTTCCAAGCATGACCATGAATATATCTGGACGGTAAGAGCTACTCTCATTCTTAATAATATTTTGATTCCTTCTATGGTCATAGAAATGTCTTCCTTGCACTGGGTGCAGCATATCAATTGTTTGTTTTTAGTAAACAAGCACCCAGTCTGGCTTCTTGAGGTATGCGTCCCACCATGCAGTTAGTCAAACGACTTTCCTATGTCCATTAGCGCAGCATTAGCCAAACCACCAAGCAGAGAGAGTTTTCTTTACCAGCATCCAGGTCACTCCAGCAAGACTACCGTTCATGTTAGTGATGCTACAAAGGACAGCATTTTTCTTTTTTTTTTTTTTTTTTTAATATCCCTAGACTTGTTTCACCAAAACAAAATACGTCTTGACTGCATATTGATCATCTTAAAAACAGTTTTGTGAGAGTGCATGGTGAGTAGCATTAGTAATTGAAGAAGACATATATAGCACAAGTAAACAGTAATCATTAAAATATCACTGTTTTTGTGTGAGTGCATGGAAAGTAGTATACCTATGTACCATCTCATTTATTAGGTAATATGACCCAAAAGAAAGAGCGGTATATTATGAAAAGTAAGTAAATAATCAATAAAACCAGATAAACATACTAATGTTTCAGCAACTGGACCATTGGTACACCACATCTTGTTTCCGTTAACTACATAACCCCCATCTACGCGATCAGCCTTGCATTTCATGCTAACAACATCAGAACCAGCTGGGCAAAAAAAAAAATAATAATAATAATTTGAAAACAATCATTGGGATTTTTAATAATGCAAGATACAACTGTTTAAGTCCACATAGCTACCATTGGGCTCACTCATTGCCAAAGCTCCCACATGCTTCCCAGAGATGAGCTTCAAATAGAAAATAAAAACTAATCAGCCCAGAGAAAGAGAGACTAATTATGATAAATAGAAGTACATAGCTAGCAAATATTATTTGAATATTCTTACTAACTAATAAATTTAATCATCCGTCATAAGATAAGCAAGAAAGTACAGAAAACAAATAACATTAGAGTAGGAAGAACCTTAGGCAAGTACTTTTGCTTCTGAGCAGGACTTCCATTCCTCACCTGAACAAATAACAGGCAGAAAGTGCTCAATGCTCAGAGAAAGATCAGCAAGATTACAATCAAAGAGATATAAGATCCACTTAAGTACCAGCTGATTGATACACAAGTTAGAATGAGCACCATAAGAAAGTCCAACAGATGCAGAGGCACGGCTTATTTCTTCCATTGCCAAACAATGGTACAAGTAACCAAGGCCAAGGCCTCCATATTCCTCTGAAAAATAGCAGAATTAGCTTTGGACAAGCTTGTAACCATACCAGTTACGGCAAAAGAAATAGTCAGTAATGAATTCATTACTAGATTTTTTTTGGAGGGGGAGGTATAGGACATCACGATTTTCTGGGTTATGGCTGAGCCATATTGGCGGCTTTGCGTATTTAAAAGGTCTTAACAATTATATATAATCTAAGAGAGGAGCCTGCAAACTTAGTCTAGCACACAAAAACAAGGTTTTATGTGTTTGAAAGTGCAATCTCTTAAGGAGAATCAGAAAATAAAGGAAGAAAAGTTTGGATGGAGAAAAGACTCTACCTGGTGCAGTAATGCCAAGGAGATTGAAATTTCCCATTCGTTTCCATAAGTTAACCTCCTAACATCAGATCAAATCGAAATCAGAATTTCAAAGGTATTCTATCATGTTGATAAACATCAAAAGGTTAAGAACCTCATACAAACCTGTGGGAATGAATTTGTTTGGTCTATTTTTACCGCATGAGGTGCAATGTTTTCTTTTGCAAATTGTGCAACACTTTCTTTGAACTGTATCACATAACAAAACAATCCAAATTTGTAACCGTAGTATTGAACAGTGCATAGTTCATGTTCAAATAAGTTGGTATTCAAAACTTTCTTTTTTTTGGGGGGGGGGGGTGATAAAGATTATTGAAAAAGTTTATCAAACCAGTGAAATTCTAAGCTAGACCATAATTTTTAACTGAACTGCGAAAATAAAACAAAACCAAAATTTTATTTCTGCAGAATGCATGGTCAGAGATAAAGCAACTGCCGTGCCCAAACATTATGCTTGAAAGCCGTTGGATTTTCTTTATCTGTTGAAGACAAGCCAACTACTCAACTTTCAACAAGAAACAAAATTAATACTGAATCCGCAGAAAGTCGCGACGCAACAGAGCAGTGAAATTACCAAGAAGATATTAATATAATATTAAATTTAAATTTTTGGCAGATTTACTTTCATTCAAAACAACTGAGTAGTTCGGTTTCGAGACCGATAAATTCATGTTCAATCCAGGATACATTTATTCCACGCACAGTTTGAAAAACCAGAGGTTGCAGTAGAAGTCTAAAATAGCCTAAACCAAATTTTTTTCCCCCCAAAGCCTAAACCAAATTGATAAAAATATAGAAAGAGATAGAATACCTGTATCTGAGTATCGTCGAAGAGGAAGGAGGTCGAGAAAGCAGCAGAGAAAGGTTTTCTTCCGAAAATAAACTTGGGTTTGATGATCCTGTGCATCTTCCTATTCTGCAAGAAGGGTAGAAGAAGAGCTACTTTATTCTCTAGCCAAAGAAAAGTTGTCCGCCTGGTACATGATGCACTGAAGAAGGGAAACAAATACGTCTTTATGAAAGCAATTTCGTCATCATCCGTTAACCAATTCCGTCCTTGTACATATAAAGATGATTTCGTCTCTATTACGGACCAAAAGGGACAATCAAATCACTTTTGTGCTCTTTCCAACATTAGATATAAAGCTCAATTTAGAGTATAGTTATGTCTAAGACAAAAGATTACTGCCTCCTTGGCCAATATAACAGCTCATTTCATTTCTATTTTAATCCTAAATATAATATCTTAATTACTTTTTTTATTATTATTTTTTAAATAATTTTTATAATAATGATAGTTCTAATTAATACACTTAATTAGTAAGAATTTTTTAAAAAAACTTATTTATTATAAATAACTAACTTAACTAATTTTTTTAATCTATTCAGTTAACTAATTTTTACGTTAAAAACGGATATAATATTACAAAAGTTTGACAATTGAAGGTTGGCATTAAAAAAACGACAAATGAAGAGTGAAAATTAGTGAGCATTTTACAATAGAGGCCCAGATCTTGTCAAAATTGTAGAGAAATCCCTTGAAAAAAAGAGCGTCGGTATTTTATAAAGACAAAACAGTCAATGGATATAGAGGACGGAGAATCTAGGCTAACGCAACTCATATGGATAAGAACAGTGTATGGATCGGGTTAGGTTGGCCCATTTTTAGAATTTTTTTATAAACTCAAGCTGGATTGAGTCGATTGATGAGTCAAATAGGACCCACATAAGTTATTTTTCCCTTTTTTACTTAGATTTTAAGATTTTTTTCTGCCGAATTGAATAACAAAAACAGATAGTCATCAACTATTAATTATATGCCATCCATTCATCCACAACAAAAGTTGAAACACGTCGTAACAAAGGCATAATTATCCTCCGCTTTTCACAGAAAAAATAAAAAAAAAGCATCATTATCCTCCCACAATCTCCCAAAATAAATAAGCTCTGCCTATGCCGTGCCCATAGCAATTCACAAGTTATGATGTAATAAAACCCACAAAACGCCCCAGGTCCAGTCATCCACATACCAAGCGTACATTATCACAACACAATAAAGGATATGTTAAATTAAATTTGCTAAATTTAATAACTACATGAATTATATTAATTAATTAATTAATAAGAATGTATAAAATGAAAATAGTAGGAGAAAATTGTAATAATATATTTTCATTTTATAAGTGTTTTGAAAATAATTGTAAGATAATATTTTATAGATAATAATTTATAGAAAAGCCAAACAATCTAAAAAAACTCCTCTGAATCTGATGGCTTTCTAACATTGATTCTTAAATAATCTGATATAGTATGCGATTTCATCTAGTACGCCTATTGTTTATTCATGTCCATGGGTTTGCAATCTAAACCCTACACAATAATGCCCTCCGTTAATTATATTCTTAGATACTTTCAACATTATCACTAAAAATAATAACAGACTTGAAGTTCATTAATACCACGAAATCAAGCAAGTTTTTGTTATAAAACTAAAGAAAGAGCAAAGAAAAAAAAGAAGAGAATACATTAAAAGAAAAGATAGGAGTGTTTCCCATTTTATTCAAGATACTAAATATATGATACATGCCTTCTATTTATAAGTACAGTTTTACATCTTTAACAAAATTTACAAATTACATAATAATAAAAGATAATTGTACAATATAGAAATAATCGAAGATATTGGAGATGATAAGAAATATAAGAGATAGTGGAAGATATATGGAAACCCACAAAGATATTATTACATTCATAACACTTTCTCTTAGGTGTTCATTACATATAAACGTGCCTTATTAAAAAACTTTAAATAGAAAAAATCTTGTGGGATAAAAACTTAGTAAAAAAAAAAAGAAGTATATTATTTATTGATACACTATACAATACTACCTCATTTGAAACTTTGCTAAAAAAATCCAGTGGAACAAAATCATAGACAAGGAAAAACGAACACATTGTGTATTAGCTCCTTCTCTTGGCAATATCAGTTAACACCTTCAAACCTGCAAAGTCTAATATAACAAATAAGCCTTCCAAATGTTATAGTGAGATAAAAATGTCAATTATTAATTTTATAATCTTTTGAAAATCATTAGACAAATAGCCTGACATGTGAATTATACTGTGATCTTTTAAACTAACAAAGAACATGCTTAGCTATATCATGAGATGAATAGCCTGACATGTGAATTATACTGTGATAAGTCTAGGGTACATTTATATAAAATAATATCACCTCTACAGTACCCTTAAACTAACAAAGAACATGCTTAGCTACGTTCCAATGTCTTCAAGTTCGTGAAGAACTATATCATGCTAATTAGCAAATAGTATATCAAGTTTGTATAGCTAGCTAGATACATAAGTGCTACAGTGACACTAAGATATAATACTTCTGGACCAAATATTTATTCATCACCTTCTGAAGGTCTAAATAGATCTTTGGTCTACATCTAAAGATGTTACAACTATCAGAGTACATAATAAATGAAATTTATCCACATAATGGATGCGATTTATCTATATTTATTCTTCCCAAATCTCTCATTTCAAATTCTTTTTTTTAAGCAATTCATAGCTTTTGTAAACTTTTCATAGGTTTTGATGCTATTTATATCATTAACATAAATAGCAATGACAACAAACTCATTTTTCACATCTTTTCATACATGGACAATGTGAAATATTGTTATACCATCGTTTTACCTATATTTACTAAATCGATTATACTATATATGCCTTTATATAGAGACTTATTTAATTTAATTGAGTAGTGTTCTTGAGAATATAATGACCTTTCTTCCAAAATAAAATTTAACTAAATCAAATAATTATTTTAAAGATTAACTATGATAAAAAAGAAGAAACTTTAAAATCATAAAATCATTATCATGGTTAAAAGAAATAACTTTACCACTAGCAATATCAATTTTAACTTGGGCCTTAAACTTTTAAAGTCCAGAAATAATGGTAAACCATAAGCCTAACAAAATCCCATACTTTCGAACATACAAACTTATAAATCCTTTAAAAACAAGCTATGGAGCTCTATTAATTAAAAGTCAATATTTCTTTTAAAAGAGTGTCACATAGAGGCCCTAGAGGCCTTTGGCCTTCTAATAGTACTCCTAGTAGTCAGCAAAAACTCAAAAGTATTAGTTTACAAAAATCAAAGTAAATGAGTCCTATGTGGCAATATATAATAAGAAAAGGAGGGAGGCTAGCTATAACAATACATTAAGCCTTCGCTCCAAAATTGACGGAATTTGGAGGAAAAAGACAATATTTTGACTTGTATTGACTAATATGCTCATATTATTTTCTAATAATCCCATGTTACTTTTCCGCACCAAATTGTATATGATTTGGTATATTTGTGGATTCAATTATGCTTCTCTTCCCTCATTTATATGTTATCAAATATAAAAAAAAGTTGCTATCAAATATATTTAAATTTCCATGTGCAAATCAAGCATTCTCACAAAAACATACAAATAAGTCGTCTATGTTGTCTTTAAAGAAGTTATTTGACTACTTGTACCAACAACACAGAGGAAAATGAAAGCTGGAAAAAACATACTCAAATTAATATATTTACTTCATTAGACTAAATTTTGGATATAAATACAATTATAGTTATTGGATATATAGTAGCTATTAATTATGTATTATCATTATATTTATTTAATTTTGCTAATTGTAAAAAGTTGATCTCATATATTAAATGTTATTTGTAGTTATATTTTATTAATTACTCTATAAAGTTTGTAAAAATCAACTTAAATAATATAAGGGCAAAGTTGTCCATACAAAAATATTTTGCCTCCCCTCCCTTCCTAAACTAAACAAGGTAACACTAAAATTCCTCCCCTCCTCTCCCCTCGTATTAATTCAAATAAAGTAATATTAAAATCCTCTCTTCCTTTCATCTTCTTTTCCTCTATCAAAATCTCTCTCCTCTCATCCCCTATTGAGCCAAACACACCCTAAACCTCATGTTATTTAATAAATGACATTCTAATAATACTTAAATACTAGAAATAAAGATTGGGATGTTACATAATGACGTAAAAAATGGAAAATTTCCTTAAAAAGACATTCAAGTAATAACCCAAGTTCTTATTTAAATTATTGTATTTGTCAAAGTCCTAATTAGGTCACATGACCCAAAGAAGAATTTAAAAATTTTATGAAATGATTGCTCTTGCTTAGTCATGAAGGTTTAGTATGAAGAATGATATGGATTACATGTGTTGTTAATAGCAAATTGGAATATGTTAAAACATGATTTGGAGTTATTAAAATTTGAAGGTGGATTCTCTTACGCTAATTGTAAGAGGTGATTATGATCGTCTATGTGAGATATGGTCTTTGTTACTACCTAAGTGGAACGCGTAACCTAATTTGAAGTTGTAAATTTTTAAGGATGATTGTTTTGTGTTAATTATAAATAGTGATAATGATTATGGTTATAAGGAACAAGTTTGTTATTAATACCTAAGTGGAACTTGCTAAAACATGATTTAAAGTTGTTAATTTTGGAAGCGAGATTCTATTTTGTTGATTGAAAAATTTGATAATGATCATGATTAAAAACAAACTTTATGATAAGTAATGACTTGTGTGTTGTGGGCTGGCCTAAGAAGTTACATCTGCATTAGGATTAACAGCAACAAAAGAATTATTGTGTGTTTTTAACGTTGGGAGAACAATTTGTCAATAATCTTGAAGGTCAAAGTCAATATAATAGAGAGAGTGTTGGTTTAAAAAATATAAGAGAGAGGATGATACTTGAAGAAATAAGAGTAATGATATCATCATAAATTAGAAATGCGAGCTATTAATTTAAAATTGAAATTTGTTAATTGCATAATTGAACTTGTTAATTTTTTAAATTCTATTGTGTTCAAGTTTTGTTCAAAGATTTACTACAAAGTGTGTTATAGAGTAGAAAGTTGTTAATTTAAAATTTAAATGTGCAAAATGGAACATATTAAGTTTTAAAGTTATACTGTGATCAATTTTATTTAAA